TTTACTCTTAATTCAATTCAATTTCTTTTAATAATCGTCGGATATCCAAAACTCTTAGGGGAGTTTTGGAATAACGGTAAAATTATCTTCACGTGAGCTATAGGTTATCGGTTTGAGCTATGAAAGCAACCACAAATGCTTATATCAGGTTAAATTATCTACATCACACTCGCCGTTCCACGGACTCTACATAAACATAGAATACCTTATACACCGGACTATCCTTTTTAATCGCCGAATATCCAGAACCCAAGTAGTCCAATATTAATCCGAGTTCGACCTCGATCGCATCTCTATCAAGATTTTTTCCACTTTGAATGGTCAAATTCATCAAGACTTGTAATTATTGGTGAGGAGATCACATCTATTCCATCACATCCTTAACTCGGTGATTTACTAAACTCTAATTAACTAACAAAATCTCTTTTATACATTTTTCGTGTGGACTAGGAAAGGGTATGGCACTTCAACCCCCTGATCGATCGTATTAGATGAGTGTTGGAACTTTCCTGGCCTTATTGATTGAAGAGTATGGACTGTTACATTCTTATATGATCTCGGACTAACTCTCAAATCACAATTTACTTAATTAGCTTATTGAGTTTACTTAAGCCCAATGTCCATATTCTTAATAATAAGTGGTGAAAAAAACATGCATGTTAGTTTATGTTAAACTTTGCTTGCGACAATTATAAAATAACTCTTCTTACTATCCAATTTATTATTTTATCGAGCTTAAGTTTTGTGCACTTGCAGTGCATATGATTTTTCTTACACCATGAGATCAAATAGGTGACCTGTCACAAAAAGTAATTACTTTAATTTATAGCAACCTTGCTTTGAAATATGAAAATAGAGTAACTAATTATCATAATTTTGCTTATATTATCAGTATATAACTTATTTCGATATCCTTAAATTTAACTTGTTAAATACAGGGGCGGAGGTAGAGTACGGGATGTGGATTCGGCGAACCCAGTAGCTTTTGTTCAAACCATGTATTTATCTTAAGAAATTCATTGAATATGTACAATTTATTAATTTAGAATCCAGTAACTTAAAAGGATTACGTATAATTCCGAACCCATAAGGTTCAAATTCTGGCTCCGCCTCTAATTATATACTCACTCTTGTTCGGTAAATATACACCTGAAGAGAAGTGAACTATATTAGTAGTAATTACAGAGTTAAAGCTGACTTCATTGAAGCTCATAAAACTCGCTCAACTTTGATTTTTCCAAGTAGCCTGGATCATTTCAAACTGAAAAAAATAAATTAACTATGTTTTAACATTCCTTTTTCTAACTGCGGTTTGACATTCATTTTTCAAAAAGAAAATTTGTACACGAGTTTTAATTGGAGCGAAAATAATTCATGAGTAGAAATGATACCAGTTAGCCACTTTTTTAGCATGTTGTTTAAAATATATATACAATTTATAATATATTTAAAGATTAGCTAATTTCATTCAAACTTCAGGACACGAGTTCTAGTCCTAGAGTTTAAACCTTAAAGTTCAAGCTTCCGGACATCGTATCCTAAAGTTCGAAAATTGTGTCCAGAAGTTCCAATCTTATGTCCTGAATTATAAATTAGTAGTTTAAAAATTCAAGGACACTTAGTCCTGAATTTCCAAATTCAGAATATTTAGTCCTAAAGTTTGGGTGAATTAGCTAATCTTTAAATACATATAAATTGTAAATATATTTTAAATAGCGGGTTGAAAGTGACTATTGTTGCACTTTGCCCTAATTTAGGACTCAAATGTAACAATTTGGGAAACCCGCAAATATTTAAGTAGAAAGCAAAAAGTTATATGTATTCAATATATAAGTACTTCTATGCTATTAGCTATGAATCTATCATATGTGTAACAGCACATTTGAAAACGAAAGATTTAATTTGAAGAATGGAGAGTGGAAAAAGAGAGACTTGAAAATTTAGCAGCAAAAATCACTGAATAAGTAATTTAAAAAAATAAAAAGAAAGTTTGTAGGAACAGCGTTTGAGAGTCACTGGACCTTAGTACAATTTATGAATATAATGAATTGAAGTTAAATTCAGTTAATTGTACGGAAGCATCTTTACTTACTTCCATTTTTCAAAATTTTCAGAAGCTGTCTTCTGCCTCGTAAAATCTGGCTCTGGGTTTAGCCTTAAGATTTCAACCTGCTCGCGCACCCGCACCTCGCACCATTCCATAGTTACGTTTATAGTGCAATTCGAGGTTGTCTTCATGCCTCAAACTGTTAGCCGTTTATGAACACTTATTTAATTATATATATATAATCTATCTAAAGTAATTCTTATACTATCTGAATACTTAAAAGATATTTATGTGAAGAGGCGGATCTTAGATTTAAAATCTATGGGTTCAATCTATAAGGTTTATAGTATTAAACATATTACTATATTTTTAAAATTATAGGAATTCATGTCATTGCAATTTTAGTAAAGTTTTACACATAAATTCATGATCGGCTTTGAAAATTATGGGTTCAATTGGACAGTGATACATCCGCCTTTGTTTATGGTAACTTTCCATAAAATTTGAGATTTTTAATCTTGAAACTATGGCGGATTTACCTGCTATACAAATAATATTGACCTGATAGTGTAAATATTTTTACACTGTCTAATAAACATACCGTTAAATGATTTCTCTTAATATGCTAAAGTGTACAAGTAAAAAGGAATATTTATTCTTCGTATACGAACTAGTAAATGAGAATATTTATTCTTTATATAATATATGAACTAGTAAAAGGGAACAGAGGAGGGAGTAATTGCAATATCTTCAAGGGGTTGCCATGAATGAGTTGCTATAGTGCTACTAACTTTCATGCAATTATTTTTGTGTGGCTGTGTCCTTGAAGTAATAATTCACAGAATTCATGAACTGCTATAATTTACTCCTTCCAGTCCAAAATAAGTGATTTTTTGGCTATTTTCACTCAATTAAGAAATTCAAGTTTTAACATTAATTAGCAATGAAATTGACCATATTAACCTTTAATATCTCTTTACGTAAACACTCCTAACACATACTCCAACACTATTTACTCCAAAGGCAATGTAGGAAAAAATATTTAATTCATTCTTGAAATCTGAAAAAATCACTTATTTTGGACCACAAAAAAAAAAACCCAAAAAATCACTATTTTGGACCGGAGAGAGTAACATTTTTCATTAACTCTTACGTAACGGCTTTTCCTCTCCTTTTTTTATTTTATTTTTTTGGTTCTGATAGTTACATGTATCAGTTGGTAATAGTAAAAGGATAAGGACTTAATAATGCACTATGAAAAGTCATAAAAAGGATAAGGACGTAATAATGCACTATGAAAAGTCATACTTTGACCCTTTATTTTATTAGTATACTATAATTTTGTCTACTGATTGATTATCATATAGGAAATTTTGTCTAGTTTTGGGCCTGTCTGAATTGGAACACTTGAGCCCACAAGTGGATAATACCCACTTGAATCTTCTGTGTAAAAAGTCAAATACACATCTACTTGAAATTTAGATCCTTTTGCGAATCAAATTACGCAAACTAGTGTTTTCTTCTTTTAATTTTATTTTTTATTTAGGTCAATTCTTAAATGAACTTTGTTTGATAAAAGTAAAGATCTAATTAAAATACAAATTTGTCCTACATGAAATAGATATTACCCCAACTCCATAGCATGTTTTGATTATAAATTTTGGACTTGATTTGACCGTGGATTTGTATCTATACCCGCTTTTTGGGTCACGTTTTAATTTGTGTCCGCTTTGCAAAAAAATTGCAAGTGTACCTACTTTTTCGCGTAACTTCAGCATACGGGGTTGAAGTAGCAAAGACAATCACGCAAAACTTCAGCATTCTAGTAGACGGGCCTGAAGTAGCAAGTGTGCTGAAATTTTTGTTTGTAATTGCTTAACTTAAGCATACTAGCTGAAGTTTTGTTCTCTATTTGCTGAAGCTTTTGTTTGTAATTCCACTAAATAAGTTGAAGTTTTTTTGTCCTGAATTCATTAGTTTTGTCATTAAACTTTTTCACAAACTTCAGCAGAAGATGCTGAAGTTATTTAGTTCATTTATAAAAACTTCAGCACTAAATAAGCTGAAGTTTTTTTTGTCCTTGATAAACTTTTTCAAAAACTTCAGCAGAAGATGCTGAAGTTATTTAGTTCATTTGTAAAAACTTCAGCACTAAAAGCTGAAGTTTTTTTGTCCTGTAATGTGTATGATCTCATTCAGATAACTGGTAATGAGCATGCCCTTTTCCATTTTTTTCGGTACCTCTGAGTCGGTGACATTTGCATTCTTTTGGCATGGCTAAGTAGAGCCCTTCTTTTAGGCATTCTGTAGTGTTCAGACAACATGATCATCGTTGTCTGAAAACAGAGAAGGTGAAAGGAAGAAGGGAAAATGAAGTTAAAAGAGCATACAACAAGCTTATTCCCCCTTAATACTTTTAATTTGATAACTAAAAGACATTCTCAAAAGACACTGTGAAAAAAGGCAGAAATAATCATCGCTTAGGATCAATATTGTATCGGTAAAAGTGACAATTTGTGGAGGCATACATACACATTACAGTACAAAGTCTCTCATGGGAGAAGAAGAAGAAGAAGAAGAAGAAGAAGAAGAAGAAGAAGAAGAAGAAGAAGAAGAAGAAGAAGAAGAAGAAGAAGAAGAAGAAGAAGAAGGAGGAGAAGGAGGAGAAAGGGGGCTGAAGTTGTTTTAAAAATGGGTACAAGTTAAAACGTTTTTAAAAAATGGGTATAAGTTAAATGGGGGCGACCAAATAGGGCGCCCCGTGCAATTTTTACTGTTACCGGAGTGAGGTAATTAATATAATGAAAGAACAAGAGACAACACCAGAAACCTATCCCGTCACTAAGGGGAAAAAATTAAAAAAAAATAGTCACATTTANCAAAAAAAAAATACTGCTCCCAAGATCACTTCAAATGCACCTCTTAAAATACGACCAACGTAACCCCCAAAAAAGAAGAAGAAAGAAACAGATTTATTATTAAAAAAATAAAGGACTCAAGATCCGACCAACCTTAGAAGCATTTCCTGTGAACAATTGCAGGACCAGATTCATCGTACTCGGCCTTTGAAATCCACATCTGCATATTAACAAGAAATTAGAGCTAATCCCTCAAGCTTGAAGAGTTAACAAGAGCAAATTCAAAATTAAATCTTCCTTTTTTCTTTTGGTTTCAGTCAAATAGAGTGAAGGAAAACTAACTTGTTGGAAAGTACTGAGAGAAGCTAGAATTGACCCTCCAATCCAGACACTATACTTCCTCTCGGGTGGTGCAACCACCTTGATCTTCATGCTGCTTGGAGCAAGAGCAGTAATTTCTTTGCTCATTCGATCTGCTATACCAGGGAACATAGTTGAGCCACCACTGAGTACAATATTTCCGTATAAATCCTTCCTAATGTCCACATCACATTTCATGATTGAGTTATAGGTTGTTTCATGAATTCCTGCTGCTTCCATTCCAATAAATGATGGCTGGAAGAGAACCTCAGGGCAACGGAACCTCTCAGCACCGATTGTGATGACTTGTCCATCAGGAAGCTCATAGCTCTTCTCAACTGATGAGCTACTCTTTGCTGTCTCAAGCTCCTGTTCAAAATCCAATGCAACATAGGCAAGCTTCTCCTTCACATCACGAACAATTTCCCGTTCAGCAGATGTGGTAAACATATAGCCTCTCTCAGTGAGAATCTTCATGAGATAATCAGTAAGATCACGACCGGCAAGATCTAACCGCAAGATGGCATGGGGAAGTGCATATCCCTCATAGATGGGGACAGTGTGGCTCACACCATCACCAGAATCAAGCACAATACCTTTTTGAAACACAACAATCATATTAGTAATGGATTATAAGCAATAAAGAACCAGAAGATAACAGAAATTATGCTTACCAGTAGTACGACCACTAGCATACAGAGAAAGAACGGCTTGGATTGCAACATACATGGCAGGCACATTGAAGGTCTCAAACATGATCTGGGTCATTTTCTCTCGGTTTGCCTTGGGGTTAAGTGGTGCCTCAGTAAGAAGAACAGGATGCTCCTCGGGAGCAACACGAAGCTCGTTGTAAAATGTATGATGCCAAATTTTCTCCATGTCATCCCAGTTGCTGACGATACCATGTTCAATCGGATATTTCAAAGTCAGAATACCTCTTTTAGACTGAGCTTCATCACCAACATAGGCATCTTTTTGCCCCATCCCAACCATTACTCCTTGGTGTCTAGGACGACCAACTATACTTGGAAATACAGCCCTTGGAGCATCGTCTCCAGCAAAGCCAGCCTTGAAAAANAGGAAATACAGCCCTTGGAGCATCATCTCCAGCAAAGCCAGCCTTCAAAAAAAGAATACGAGTCACTATATTTTGATATGTCACATAGGAATTAATGCAACAAACTTGAATATAATAAGTTAAAACTGCAAGCTATTTTTTTCTAGCTAACCTTAACCATTCCAGTTCCATTGTCAACAACGAGTGGTTGAATGTCCTCACCTTCAGCCATCTTCTAAGGACTACAAATATTAAAAGTACAAGTACAATTTAGATGAGAAATCACCGGTACAAATGCAGACTCAAAGTAAAGAATATCAACAATATCAGCATAGCTCAGTTATTGCAAATGATTTTGCGCAAAAATTGCTTCCTCTACCAATTTGCTTATTTCTTTTGGCAATTTCCTTTCAAGATCAAAGATAAATCAATTCCCTTTGTATAAAAAAAACCTGCTGTTACAACCAAAGAACTTCACCTACTCCTAAAAGGAGAAGAGAGAACAAAAACAACACTGCAGAGTGCAACTAAGATTCAAGAAAAACACAATAGGAAGGAGAAACAAGGGTCACCAGATGCAGTTGGAGTTCATCCATGATAGTACCTGGGGAAACTTGATATGCTACTCCGAATAACTCGAGTTGAGTTGTGTACATATTTATTCATAATATAAAGTCACAATAGTCGACAGCCCAAAATATATAAAAACTGTTTGAAAACACTTACGGTCAAAGAAAAACCTCTTTCGACTCATCAAATACTACCAGCGTCACATTTAAAAAAAAAAAAGAAAGAACAGATGAAGTATTCACTAAAAGATTAAAGAAAACGAGCCCTTGTATTGACAAATTTTGTATCCGAGCAAAGTTTCAAGTGAACTTGAACCCCAAAATTCACTTAGCAGCAACAACATCAAAAAATCAAAGCAAATAGCCACGACAACAGGGCGAAAGTGAACACAAGGAACAAAATCGTAAAATCAAAATATTAAACAACAGAATTATCAACAAAAATTGAAAAGCATACCTTGATGAAATCAAACCCTTTTTGCTGTTTGACTGACTAGCGGTAGCGGGTGAAGAGAAGAAAACAAAGAGAACGCGCGTGGGAAGAATATTTAAGGAAAAACGAATGTGGGCCCCCCTCCTCCTGTATCCTTGATTCCTTTAAAGAGGTATCAGGTAAATGAAATGCAAATGCAAATGCAAATGAGATTACTGAAATCAAAATTTTCTGGGTATTTTTTAAGCTTACACAAAAAGAGATATTCTTTTTGGTACATTATAAAAAGATATTCTTGCAATTAATTCTAACTTAATTACATTTATTTATTCACTACAAGCCTACAACTAGGAGTGTCAATAGATATTTAAAAACCGACCGAGTCGTATAACCGAATTTTAGGTTTTTTCTACTAAAACCGTAGGTTTTTATATAAATCTATAGTTGTACCGATAATTAAGGTAAGTTTTTAATTTTATAAACATAAACCGAAAGAATATTTAACCATACCGAATAAATTTACATGTGAAAAATATATTTATATATTAAGTTTAAAATTAATAAAGCATTAAATTTTTCCTTGGCCTTGAAATTATGAAAACGGTTACAAGCCAATAAGTAATTAAAATTCAAAATCCTAATTCTCAAACCTATTATGTTACTCCTATTAAAACCAAATTATTTCCAACATATTCACTAGCAAGACACAAGGTATTCTACCGATTATGAGCAGTAAACTATAATGTATCGAATAGTTTTCTTTCGTATCATTTAGATTTATCTTTTTGAATATTTAATCTTTTATAGACTGTATTCTTGAGTCTCAACTTGATTAATATCTTTCCATGCGTGTGATTTATATTTTTTTTTGTCTTTACTTAGTTTCTTTTATTCTGCTGTAGAATAACTGATGGATCTATACTCTGGCCATATTTCATGTTTTCTTAATTCATCACCCTTTAAACAGTAAAATTGTCCAGAGAATTTTGCTAAGTCCTATAAAAGTACGTATATTATTGCATTCTATTAGTGACTTTTACATGATATTTTTAAAAAATTACCAAAAAATAACCGAACCATACCGATACCGAAGAGAAACCGACATGATTGCGATGGTTACGAAAAGTCTAATTTTGATTATACATAATAGAATAACCGAAAAAATGGTATGATACATATTTTACAAAATAACCGGCTGAACCGAACCATTAACAACCTGTATAAAACACACACATTTGTGAATGTTGAATACTTAATCCTTACTTGAGCATATATCTCATGCAAAACTGTATTTTTTGTATCTCGCTTTTAAGACTTGTACGTTTTTGCTCTATTTTTTGAGTTATACTCAAAATAAACTCTTAAAATGCTCATATTCGACCATGTCTGTAATTTGAAACAGGAGTTCATTATTGCTCGGGTAAATTTGGAGGGCTAGAGGGCGGTCACATGAAAGAAAAGAATTTATGACAGTGCGGAGCCGATTTATGTATATCTCGACTATTCACTAAGTATCTGTTATCTATTACAGGTATTGTGTAACTCTCCATGAAGGCTTAAGCATATGGAAAAAAAAATTAATTTTATTAAAATCTGAATCTAATTTTCAAATTTTGAACTCACTTCCTTAACCACTATGTCACATCCTTGATTTGCGTAAAAAAGTAGCCACTCTAAAGAACTGCTATATAATAATTAGCCCATGTCGTGCTGAATTACAATTTTTCAGTTCAAATTTTCGAGACATAAATGTCCTAAATTGCCCTTAAGTTTTCGAGATATAGATTTTTAGTTTACAATTTTAGGACAAAATAAATACTGACTAATCTCTAAATAGCATCCATGAGAATGGCTATCTGTGCACTTGTCCCTTGATTTGCGCCACCGAAAGAAAAGAATTACAAACTCGGGGGAAGTCCAGCCACTAATAACACATGTATTTATTTAAGCCACTGTTTAAAATATTTTTAGTCTTTAGCCACTGCTTCAATAAACTTTAACTGCCCGAACGAAAATACCCTTCTGCTCATGTCCTTAACTTTTAAACTTAACTTCAGGACTACATGTCCTTAACTTTTGAACTTGGAACTCTAAGTTCAGGACTTCAGGACTACATGTACTTAACTTTTGAACTTGTAACTGTAAGTTCAGGACCAAGTATCCTTAACTTTTGAGCTTGTTAGGGCTTCTTAGCCTAAGTTCAGGACCTATTGTCCTTAACTTTTGAGTTTGTTAGTCTAAGTTCAGGACTTGAGGATCTATCGTCCTTAACTTTTGAACTTGTAACTATAAGTTTAGGACCTATTGTCCTTAACTTTTGAGCTTGTTAGTCTAAGTTCAGGACCAAGTGTCCTTAACTTTTAAACTTGTAATTCTAAGTTCAGGACCAAGTGTCCTTAACTTTTGAATTTGAAACTCGAAGTTTAAGACCAAGTGTCCTTTAACTTTTGAGTGTTTGGACATTACCAAGAGTGTAATTCGTATTTATTGGATTGAAGGGACACAATGTCGAGCAGCTTTGGAGATGGATATGCGACGAGATCGGATGAAGAAGGTTTTGGAGGCATCTATGGAGGAAACAAAGAGGATGAAGAAAAGATAATCCATGGAAAAGCCCCTGGTAATGGTTTATGCTCTATATTTATCTTCTTAATATGTCTTCTAATGTCAATTCATCTATTTTTTTATTGATAAAATAGAGTATGATACTAATCAAGGAAGTAAAGTCAAAGAGAAGGAGAAGGCACCTAATCAGCGTCAAGCAGCATGAAGAAAACTATCATTCCTGTTTATAAGAAAGGGTAACACAGTCTTTTCATATTAATATAAATAGACTAGTGGCTACTGTCTTTTCATATTAATATAAATAGACTAGTGGCTACTATTGCTAAAATGCTGGATAAAAAGTAAATACCACTTTAAAAAGTGACTACCCCACACAACTTTTACACACTAAGTTGAGGAAGTTAACCAGAATCATATTCCAATAATCCCAACATATCCAAGGTAATATCCAAAGAGTCAAAATGTATAATATTGTTCAATTCAAAAATTAGCATACATAAGTTTGAAAATGTTTGAAAATAAAAGATTTCTAAGAGATTTTAAGTTTCAGCAACAATCAATCGGTACTCTTAAGTCTTAAGTAAGGTCTCACTGCTTTTCTCTATCCTTTGTTCATTTGCTCCACCTACAAAAGATAGATAAATAAATGATTCAGTAAAAAAAACCTAAAAACTCTTTTAAGATGTCAAGCACTAAGATCAGGACCATCTTTCAATTATATGATGAGTCAACCGCATGGTACTAATACTAAAATAGAGATTGAGAGATCACAAAAACACAAATAAAAAGACATAAAAATAACTAGAATACAACATTTCTAAATGACTTGGTAAACATCAGCTCTATCTTCACCAAGTGCTGGTCAGGTTATAAGCTCAAGAATCACTTGAAGGCAGCCAACATTCTAATACACGACACACTTTAATTATTTAAAACGTACTGTCAAACAAATGAATTAAAATTTAGTAAGTCATGACCATTGGAGGTGTGCAACCTAAATGAATGTGTTGAATTTCATTATCCAAAGAAAGCTATCAAGTGTTTTAACTACACGGAATCACACGGAATGAGAACTATGAGACTGAACTGACCATCAAGGATTTTCAATTAACAACATGAAACAGATGCGCGCATGTAAAAATGCATGAACAGGGGGCTCAATGCAATGATTAACACAAGCAGACTCAGTAAAGGATCCTAATCATAAAGGCAACATCCATTGATTCAAGTGAATGATCATGAGAGACTAAGCTAATTCAAAGATTAACACTAATGAATCAAAAAGCACTGACAATGACTCATTACAAATTAAAATAGAGATGACCAAAACCCAGGCAAATCATGATTTATTCTGCAGAACTATCCTCTAATCATAGCAAGTAACTACTTTATTCATATCAAAGCACAAAAATTCATAGCCATCTTGATGTCCATAGTTATCACTTCAGACATAAAATCACACAAGCAGAATATAACAAGTAACAACTAACATGCATCACAGAATACATGAGCTTATGTTATCCAAGTTTTAAATTAAGATGATACAAAAACTTAAGAATGCAAGTCTGTCTCTTGTATCAAAGTAAATATTAAGATGCCAAACTTCGAAAAATTGGTAGGAAAAGGAAGTTCGACCACAGAAACATATAAAATTTGAGACTCACACATGTGATTCTTAAGATTCATTTTTGAACTGGAACATGTACCTTGCAATCATAATTTTCTTTTTCATGCACTTTTTATGCTGGGACCAGTCAGCAGTAATTTTACTTAACTTCACATTTTTCATCTTCTTAAAAGCCAAAGAAGAATGTAGAAGCCAGTGGAGTTATTTCTACAACTGTTATAATGAGTCTTGGAGGCCTAGTACAATCAGATGCCTCTAGGATGCTTCATAGAGTTTTTCAAGTGGTTTTCCTAAGATGGCTTCATCGAACCCGAGGATTACCAACTTGAAGTTGGTGAATGAAAAAGAGAGAAAAGCTACTAATTTTGCTGTTCAAAACAAAAAAATTGGCCAAAGGCTGCTTATGTTTTTGAATAATGAGAAATCACGTTATTCAGCTAGTTTACAGGTGCAAACCTAGGGTCTACATGAAGGAAGATATCCAACTCTAACTAGATAGAATATAGATCAACAAAGTTAATCAGTGGATCCTATAAGAAAACACCTTATTTAATCTTATTCGGAATTCCATCACTAATAACACCAGTAGAATCTTCTGCTGGTCAGACAAAAATGATGGAAAAGAAAATTCTTCTCATTTCTCGGAATGCCCCTTTGTCTCCTTATTAAAAAAAATCTTCTCACTGTTGCCTTCATTTTTGTTGACAACATAGAATAATCAACCAGTAGTAGTTGGATTAAGCACCAAAGAGTAATTCCATTATAGTAAAACCAGAACCATAGAAAGTAGAACTTTATTCCATTTGAATATATAACAGAAGAGGTCGCTTGAATCATAAAAATTGACAAACTTTAACACATACCTGAGGGGACTGATGATGGAAGGTGGAGCATTTGAAAACCAGGACAACAAGCTTGGAAACGAGCAATGAATTGTAGATGTTCAAGAAACTTAACGCTAAATTAGTGGACCACAAAGTCACCAGACAAAATGGTCCAAAAATTCTGATGGGACTAATTCATATATCCCTTCATGCTCATTATGAGAGTGGTCTTACTATATTTGTGTGTGTGTGGGGGGGGGATGTTGGGGTGTATGTTGCAGTAACATTTTGCTCAAGATTTTGATGGATTCAACAAAAAAAACGGTTTCCGTGATTTTATGAACAATCATGATTTCTATGATTTTATGGATGATCATAAAACCTGCAGACAAACAAATTAAACAAACCAGCAAAAATATGCCATCTTTCAACTCTTTCATTAACATTCAGTTTCAAGAAACCTCTCACATGATATGCAGAACACAAGATAAAAGAACACAGCGTAGGTCAAGAATGTTCAGCTAGCTTGCTCTAAATCACCTTCTTAAAGCAACGCACAGTTGGATGATGAATTCAATTGTTTAATCAAATGCCTCCTATTACTGCTGTCAACTACAATAGTTGGATTTACATTTACGCCTGCTCTGGAAAGAACAGAAAATGGAGGAAAACTATCTGTTAGGCTGGAAAAGAATGCTTCAAATAATTTACGTGTATCCAAAGACCTGAAAGAGAAGCTTCCTGCCACTTACTTGAACTTGTTAGTCTAGCATAAGTAACGGCAGTTGGGATGATATAACCTGTAAGAAGATGAAGCAATTCAGATTAGAACTTTAAGGGGAAAAAATAACACGAAAAATTATTAATTTTAAAGCAATTCAGAATATGATAGTTGCTCTCCAATTGATATTAGTCCCAAGAGGTTCATTTGGTTTCTCACACAAACTTGTTAGATGCATGGAGGATGGTCTAATAAGATTGAGACATTCTACGGTATGAAAGAGACTAAATCTACACAAACAACCCTTATCAAATAATAATATGCTGAAGTTGAAATGTAATAAAACTAACGAGGTTGCACATGCTTCTAAGCTGTCAGGAAATAGACTACGAGACTATGAGCATGTGCAGATTTGTTTGAAAGTTGTCAAGAAGGAAAGAAAAAACTGACTTCCAAGAAATGAGTCGATAACATCATAAATAGATGATTTTATATAAGTCGAGACATTTTCAAAGTTCAGTATGACTAAAAGATGTTTGTTGGACACAAAGACTCACGATGGAATGGAACCCAATGGTCATTAAAACCGTTAGATCATAAGACAGCAGCACTGTCAGAATGCCACTGCGATGAAATATCAAGGTGAAGATCAGCAGAAACCAATGTAGTCCACTTGTTCCCTAAACAGTAATCATAGACCTCATTTCAACCAAGATAATGCTTCTCTTACAAATGCCAATCACGGATTGAAAAACTGAAGTGGAGAAAATTGTCATCTGAAAAACCTCAAAAGTACTGTCAAATTGTAAAATTCTTGAACACGGAAAGAACCAGGATCTCTTTGGTTTAGATTTAAAAGAAAAACAAGGAGAGAGAGTGATTGTTTTTATCAGAACAAATATATAGCAACAAAAAAATCCAGGATTTCAATCTTGTTTCTATGTATAACATTGCAGCTCCTCTATTGGCGCCTATATAACGTTAAGCAAGATATAAGAGAAAAGCAACAAAGAAAAGTATTTTTTTCCTGGAACTTTAATAAAGAAAAGTCTTCGAGGACATAAACTAAACAGACACATAATTAAAAAAAAAAGACACAACTCATAGTTTTGACTAAATAAGTTAGATAACTTAGATCATGAACAAGCACAATTAACTTCAAATGCGAGAGTGAAACATGGCAAACCACTTAAAAAGTAAACACAAGAATTGCATTATCAAAGGCCAACCCTTCTCAATGTTCGATTTTAATATTAGTACTTTAATAAAGAAAATTCTTGGAGGACATAAATTAAACAGACACATAATTAAAAAAAAAAAAAAAAACTCATAGTTTTGACTAAATAAGTTAGACAACTTAGATCATGAACAAGCAGAATTAACTTCAAATGTGGCAAACCACTTAAAAAGTAAACACAAGAATTGCATTATCAAAGACCAACCCTTCTCAATGTTCGCTTTTAATATTAGTAAGGGGGCTTTAGTAAATTAATTTGCAAAAATGAAGGAAAAACAAAGTACAGAACTTGCCTACTACTTGTCTACTAATGTCTATGTCTGGACATTATGGACTTGACCAAGTCCAATATCCGAACATAGTCATAAAATAGGGAAGACTCTTTGCCTTCAAGCCCATCCCTGCTCACTCTGTTACTGCCTGCAAGGTTATTGCACGGGCTTCCACCAATTACCAAATCAAATCCTCCAAATGACTCTATCAGTTGCTCCAAGCGGTCTCCATTCAGCTGCTGCACATCGTTAAAATGTATAAGATTCCCTTTCTGATTAGTTTGCTCCCACCAGCTTCTCACAATATCCCTGTTGACTTCAGATTTTTCCACAGAAACCACTGTGTTTAGTGGAATACCGAGACGATAAAGAGCAACTTCACCACCGCCAATTCCAGAGAAGAGTGATAAGACGTTGATACCATCGGGAAACAAGTTTTTCAATACCGACAAATGGTACGCCACAGTGTCAACCTAATCAAAATGACCGATCCAAGTATCATGTCAAAAATTATTCTAACAAAGAAAAGAAATTGAATAAGCCAATAAAAGGAGTAGCTTCACTATATTCAACAAACCCAAGTTCATGGGAAAAAGGAGAAGGAGGGAGAAAATAATAAGACTTATACTGCGAAATAAAAAAGAAAGAAGGTTAGTCTAACCTGGAACGAATTACCAAGCGACTTGTATCTATCGGTCCTACTTATACCACCTCCCCTGGTATGGTTCTTTGGAAATCCCAATAGCATTTCAACTTCATCAGGCTCCAAAGGAGCAACTTTGTTTCTCCCAACCCACACCAAATTCCACTTCCGACATTGATCAAGAACAAACTTCTGAACTCTCATTGGTGGCTCACCATCAAAGTCCTCCACGGCTTTCCTAATCCTATTCGTCAATTGTGCACTTCCAATGGCTGTTTGCAAACAATTTAACTTTGTCCGTGGATCCCAAGATGGCCACCATTTCTTTGACAGGGGAAGTGCCTCATGAATGGTACGTGGGGCAAGTGGAAACAAAGGAAATCTATTTTCAATCGGCAAATTATGAATATAACCCCTTTTTCTTGCAGCAGCACAAAAATATTTGGAGTCGACAAACTCGGGCTCAATATCGTACAAAAATCTAGAAATTGTGTCCCACACACCCTTTGGAGCTAGAGCAACATTTTCATAGTAGAAAAACGGGGGTCCAACAGCTTGCTCGGGAAGAGTTCTTTGAACCATTGCTGGAACTAGTTCGGTAGGAACCCCAAATCCAATCATAGGTTTGGGCAAACGAATTGTCTCTTCCTCAAAAATCGCCTTTGCCTTTTTTCTTTTGCACAATTCATTGTACATCTTTCTTTTCTTGTATCCACCACTACCATTCAATATATGGTTCAGTTTTGGCTGTCACAATGGAAGGAAAAAGGCATCAATCCTATGGAAAATGATACTGCGAAATTTGCAATTATAAATGCAAGTAAAGTTGGACAGATTGTTAGTTCACATGAGTCCATTTCAAAATACTGCGAGGGGAAAGCAGACCTTTACATCTTCTGGCAGATAGACATCTTCTGCTCTTGCCATTTGAGCAGCACATATGAAATCTGTCAATTCAGCAACCGATGCATCTGGACCTAGAAAGTTGTGAATAGGACATTAATAACCTAGAAATGAAATTAAAAAAAGGTGCTACAGTACTAATAAGATATCCAGGAATATGGTAGTGTGTCAGTAAGCAGATTTTGTTCTAAATACATAACTAGGAACTCAACAGAGTAGCATCTAACCTAGAACTTGCATGAATAAGATTTCTTCCGCCATTGATAAAATCTTAGCATAATTAATACATATCAAAAGCCAAACTAAATGTCTAATAAGATAAAAAGACTTAGATCACATTAGTTGTGTAGAGGACAATGCACTATTTAATATACAAACCACATCTCTCCATTGCTATGGAAGCCTCTTCCGCGGGGTATCCCATACTTGCCAGGAACGATAAAGTCTGCTCTTTTTCAGATGAAGAACTGCTCTCAACTTTCACATAGCATTGTTTAGCAGAATTCTATCACAGTTACAAAAGGAAAATGTTAGAAAAGCTTTATATAATTGTGCCCAGAAAACTTGTAACAAGATTCAGGACCAGCAAACATCTTAAGTGGTAAAAAAAGTACAAGTTGATGCATAAATATAAATATATGAAACAAAAGGTTCTTTAAGCCCCCAAAAATAGTGAGCAGCTAAAAATTAATTTCGAGTCACACTCGTCCAACTTCAGCACTACTTTTACAGGTCAACGTCTCCTCATTTGTAGAAATTACTCCCAAAGAAACCACTTCTATGTCTCCCCAAATCCTAAATTAGAAGGGGGAAAAAAAATATCTTGTGCATCCTCCAACTGGAAGAACCTGATGACTGTCAAAGCTGAAAATCACAAATACCTTTAATTTTATTTTGTAGTTGTCCGCAAATTTGTAAAACTAAACCACCTCATATTACTCGTATAATCTAGTAGGAAAAGAAGCCATGGGTGTTCAAAAATACCATTTCACTGACATTGCATTACATAGATGACGTGTTACAAAGATCAAAAAGGTTGACGATCAAAAAAATGGCTAAATGTATCTTTTGAACAGATAGAAACCAGATAGAATATTTCCTATTCCACAGTTAGACACTGAAAAGAAAAATAGAGAATGGTGTATGATTGAGGATAACATACTCTACAGCTGTCTGAGTCGGAGGACCAACTATCTTCCTCATACACATCATCCAGAAAGTTCTCGTTGTATTCAGAAGAGCTATCGTCAGAATTAATGCAGGGTTGAGGGCTAGCACTGGGTTGTTCTTCAGGAGAGTCTTCAAGGGCCTGCAACATCCGAAGACAAATGAAAAGTATGAATGTATGATTAATACTGCTAAAATTTATGCAAAGACCATAATTTTTCTATAGTTATTTCTTCTTCTTTATTGGAGATGTTTTTTTTTTTTTGGGT